TCCTAATCTTGGACATTCTGTGGTTCTTGGGTATTCTGTGGTATTAAGGGGTGACATTTAAGTTTACCTTTTTCGTGTTTCTTCTTGTCTATTCGATGGCAGTTTGAATTACGTCATGGCGGACCATGGTCACGTGCTAGGCAACGAAAAAGGCTCACGTGCATGCAGCAAGCTTATCTTTCTTTCAACAAAATAACAAGTATGACACCACAGATATTGCATAGGTTTTTTAATGAATGGATAATCGAACCGGTATGAGAAACAATTAAAAACGGGGCTCTGGACTATTTTATTTGTTGATGTTTTCCAACTCACCCGGTTTTGTAAACAATCTATTTCATGCAAGACTGGTGCAACTTGTTTTCCAATTCTGATGTTTACGTGAGACAATTCAATTCGTATTTGGTTCTCAACATCTCTTGATATCAGAACACAGAACCCCTTTGCCCACCGAATATATTTTTTTCTTTTTGGAGATATTCGCCCTATGTAAGGGAATCGCGGATTCCGGAATATGGGAAAATTTTGTTTATGGAATCCGGAATCCTTGGTTGTGGAATCTGGAATCTCACTAACGACTGGAATCCAGAATCCAAGTTCTACTGGCAAATACTGGAATCCAGTTTCTTGAATCGGGAATCGGGAATCGAGAATCCAAGACTGTCCTGGATTCCCTTACGTGGGCGAAGATATCATCAAATAAACTTTGTGGCATTTCCTTGCACATCCGATCAAAAGATAATTCAACCTCGGACGCACACCATAATCTTAATTGATTACTACACCTTTGCTAATCAGAACCAGAACGTAAACTTTAAATAACATAGTTACCATTAAAATACAATTTCAGAATCGATCTTTATTTTATCTTAAGAATATCCATTAAGTCATTTTGCATGAAAATGTATACATGTATTCAATAACACTTACGGCCATTTTAAAGTTTAACAAGGTCACTAAAAATTTTAATAACGTAGTTATAACAAAACTTAAATTACGCGAAGGAAGATCATCGCAGTTACACAACTTTTGCAGTTGCGAAAAGAAAGCCTGAAAAAAACTGCGATACCGGTGCAGCGCAGCGGTGTATCGCAGTGGTCAGGGGTTCGAATCCTGTACAAGCCTGAATTTTTTTCAGGTTTTCTTTTAGCAACTGCAAAAGTTGCGTACCTGCGATGATCTTCCTTCATATAATTCTTCACACCGCAGTTTACATATATGATTTTCATATATTCATAACTTCAAAACTTAAATTATGAATCAGTACAGAAAGTGGTTGCTTTAAGCAAATATCAACAACAGTAGTTGATGGGATGCCAGGGCATTGCAAATACATTTATTGGCACTGGCACAACCCCAATGCTTACAGAATCGGGAAGCAATTGTAGCAGAAAGTAGGATTGTGTTCCTTAATAAAAAGACAGCACGAAAAAAGGAGACGGAGAACATGACAGCGTAATTAATCTAGAAAGGGATAGTTTTGGAGTTTTAAAACAACAGTGCTTGAAATTTGGACCAAATATTGAACAGAAAATAGCTGCGATACTGAACACTTCTCTCTGATAGAACCGATCGTGAGATAGAAGAGACCTTGCACCTTTTTCCTCTGATAATAGTATTATCATTTCTTCATTTCACTCTACTTATACCTTTGCACGTTCAGGTTTTTAATGCACTTGACTAAGGGTAAGTGTGGTGTATTTAATATCATACCAGAAAGCCGCAAAGATATTAAACAACAACCTTATGCCCTTGTGTCTCTGTCGGGTCCTTTTTGCACTTTCCCTGCTTGTCGAGAGCAGTCAGGGTACATAAAAACAAATTCTTCATCTTTCTATTTGCACGCTATTATATGATTTTGTGATAATGGTAATTTTTGGCGTCCTAAGTCGGAAGGAGCAGAAGAATTTGTGATGGAACTAGCTCGCAAAGAAAAAATTAGCATGCGTCTCAAAACAACTGTGGAGTTAATTCATCAATGTCTTAACGTGTGCTTTTAAACGCGGTTTGAAAAGTATGCTAATATCTTGTTTCAAGTCTATTTTGCAAATATTCTGATCTTCTCTATAACATGCAGCCAGCCCTTCAACAAAGCGGTTGCAGTTTTTCCAGGGAGCGTTCAGGTTAGCTTGTACCCAGTCCCCAATTAAGCTTCCTAAACCTTAAAATTGATAACCTATTAATACGTTTTAATAAATGATGAAGTCTGCTTTACATCACGTTGAATCAAATACGATTTTCTTTAGACAAATGTCTCATCAGGAAATACCAAGCTCTAGTACTCTTAAATAAAACGACGACAGAAAGACTACAGAAAACAAATACAATGACCTATTAACCCTCGGAGATGAGACAACTGAGTACGAAATATTTGTTTAAGTTATAAAAGAAACTGTAACGCACTTCATTCTAAATCAATTTTTTGAGATACGCCACAGATATCTCGCACCTCCCTATTTTTTAGTATTTCGTTTCTCGTCTTTCGCATGCATTCAAGAATTTCGTACAATAATTCCTACGTGGTGTGTTTACCTAAGGATTTGAAAGAAAATTCCTTTCATTCCAGCCAATGAGTATCATGGCCTATATATCCTTTAGGTTAAAAAATAAACCCAATTTCAGTGCAGTTGCACGTTCAGACACTTGACCTATCACCCTCCTATTCATCAAGAGCTTATATAATAACATCTGAGAAAGGCTTCTTCATTATAAGCAATGATGCCGAACATTCACCGTGTCCAGTTACGTCTGTGCTGCGCCTTTTTCGTTCTTTGGCTTCTCGTCCAAGGCAGTAAAGGTACATAAACTGGAAAATTCTCATCAATTTTCTTACTCATTATAATTGCTGTTTCTTGCTTAAAGTGATTTCTTAGCGTTTGACAATAGCAAGAGCAGATGAAGTTTTAGGGTGTGGCACGTTCGCAACGAAGAAATCAAATTGCGTCGAAAATCAGTTGCGGGCTCAGTTAATGGGTTAACATTAAAATAAATATAAATAACTAGTTATAAAAAAAAATCGTAATACTTTGTGTTCTTATAATTGACATTGCAATTTTTTTAATTTCTATCTTTTTTAAATAGCAGGCATCTTTAAAGCTGGTAAAGCCAACGTGACTACAGTTTCTCCTGGGCTATTCGCTTGCCAACAGGTCTCGTTTGCGACACCTTTCCATGTTGGACAGGAAGTTACCGTTCTTGCTTCACTGGGTCGTTCTATCAAAAGTCGTACTCGTGGTAACGGGGGCGCCATCTGGGTGGAGTCAGTAGATCAAAGTGGTTTCAAGGCTTGTATTCTAGAATACAGTGATGGGTCCAATAACACAGCAGAGGTGAACTGGATAGCAACACAATCTGCTCCATCTGGAGGTAAAAGGGGATCTATATCTTTTGGTGATTGGACAACAGGAACACAGTGCAAAATAATTAATTTTCAGCAGGTAAGTGTTTTAATTTGTATTTTTTTTCAAATTAAAGGTATATTACGAGTGATCTCAACTAACAGTGACAATTGGCATCAACGATATATCAACGATATAGATACCTTAAGACGGTTGTGAACATTTCATCAATTCATTGGTTCATTCATAATTTTTCTTTCTATTTTTTTTATCATCTGCGTTTCTGCTTTCATGGCAAGCCTTACTTTTCTCTTGAGATAAAAGGAGAAGTGCAAATTGACAATAACATGTTAAATATGTAATTTAAAACCTTAAAAAGTTTATGAAATGTATGTCGTTCACTTTTGGGTTGTTTTCAGCCTTTCCTGTCACCTCCCGTCATACTTGTAACCCCTAGTCACCGGGCTCCAGAGAGACCTCAGGATGCAATGGCCGTGTGGATGGAGGACTTGCGCAAGGACAGTTTCAAGATTTGTCTCAAGGAATCTAAAATTTTTGATGGAGTTCACAAAAACATTGAAGTTGTAAGTAAAGTAGTAGTTACAACACGGCAGCGGGCCTCAAATTAAAAGGGTTAAAATAATGCATCCCCCCTGAAATGTTAATTTTAATTTATTTATTTCTATATATACGCCTAACTGCAATTAACCTTGTCATACAAAAAGAAAAGACACGCCTGAAGCAGGAAAAAGCCAAGAAGGAATTATTTAGCCATGCCATGTACATGCAAATTAAGATTTGATATTTTGTTAAGATATTAAACTAAACACTTTTGCGGTACAATATAATTATATTTATATTTGACATTTTATGGTCAAGTTGGCCACACTAAAGACATTTTAGGCTTTATCCTCTCGCCAGTCCAGATCTTTCAAAATTAATTAATGTTTTACTTCTCAGCACTATCGACCCACTTATTCTTGGAGAGAGGTTGAGATGGAGGGGATAACGGGACATTTTTATTCCACTTTATTGTTTGCCAGGTCCCCTGAAAGGCAATACTCCTGATGCTCGTATTGTTAGCGCGTTGCAAATTCATTATCTTATCAGCTACCAATTCACCTCAATATCCACAGAAACAACTGGGTAATTTGACGTTGCGTATCTCATAAGCTCTCAGCGCCAGCATAGACTTTAAAGTACGTTTCCTGATAACAAGAGGAAGGATATATTGGAAAAGAGTACGATGTTCCGTATAGGAATATAAGACTTGGTTAATGAGAAATGTTCTATATTGGCCTCATATGACCTTAATCTGCCAGAAAAATGGTCTCAAATGGAATATTATCTTCCCACTGCAGGTTATAATGAGAAATAAAGATTTTATACTTGTGAAAGGTTTGAACCCATGAGTCTTTTCAAAAGTAGGTTGAGTTTGATCGTCCGGGTGAACGTAGTCCTGAATTGGACTGTTGTTGTTGGCAGTGATTGACGTTTCGACAACCTGACCGGTAGTCATCTTCAGGGTCAAAGTGAGTTGTATCACGTCAGTTGATGTTATTATGCTCTGGTTATTGATCTGATTAGTCAATTACGTCGCGATGTTATTGGTCGTCTGTCAGTTAAGCCGTGATGTTATTGGCTATGAAGACTCGTAATCAGTAATTGGTGCGTTTCGATCCGTCTGTTGTCACAGTTAAACAGTCGTCTATTGTTAGTAAAATTGTCAGTTCTCCAGTCGTTCTCTCGTAGTTAGTTTTACTTGATCTCGTCAATAAGTCGTTTGTACGGCGCTGCTAACTGTTGGCTTCGATTCAGTTGCGTTTGTTCTAAGTTAGTAAACCAGCTTTCTAAAGTAAGAAGTTGATAGTAGTCTGTAGAATACGTTATACATGTCGTAGAGTCCCAGCCAATTTGATGTTTCGTCTTTAAATGGTGCTCAGCAATGTTTCTTTAGTTTGAAGTAATCGTTGGCATGCTCAGACCTCTTCGCTTTGCATGTTCGAATTTATTTGTTTCACGGTGCTTAGTTTCTCTAACCTCTAGGCTTTTTCATACCTTTTTGCCCAGTTGCGTTTTCTTTTTTGCGCTTGAGTTTTGTTTGTCACTCTTTTTTTGTCACCCATTATGCTTTTATTATCATGCTTTTCTATCACGTAACTGTTAGTTTCGCGGTGGGCTGTTTAAGCAGCGTTTCTTGTTTATTGAGGCGGCCCCTTTTTTGGACTTGGGGCTCTATAGTTTAGTGTTTTCTTTATTTGAAACTTTTATTTTTGCCTTTGTTTATTATCAGCGAAGGCGAGTTATTGTTGCCTGGAATAAGTTTAGGGATGCCACTGGTGAAAGAGTTTTATTCAGTAAACTAAGGGGAGTCGGGTCACGATAGGTTTTCTTCATTTTCAATGTGTATCTCTGGTAACGCCGTTTGTTGCCCATTACGATTGTAAAATATGCCAACGAATTGCGACAAATTACGTTCATTTGTTTGTGAGATTCTGCTTTCATTATCAGAAATACGGACTCATTTTGAGCGTTCCGCTGGTGATGGTAGTTTGTTTCTGCGTACAGCAGTTCTGGGATGCCACCAGTGAGGAAAATGAAGTAATTTGCGTTTTTTTCCTTCTTTGCGTAACTAGACATCTTTTCTACATGGGCGAATATTTCCAATCTTATTTCGTAGCTGAATGTTCCGCTCCGCTGGTGAAGGGAACTTACTGTTTCGCGGAACGATTACGACATGCCACCAGCGTGTGTAGTTTGATCTTGAAAGGAGAGGATCCGTTTCGAGTCTTTTTGTTTAACTGTTAGTTACCGTGTCACTTGTCAATACCACTTGCTGCTGCTTGTGATAATTGTGCAATCCCTCTAAAGGAGTGATATAATAAAATATATCTTTTGTTTTCGTTCGCGAAGCTCAGGGATTGATTTCGTCGAGTGAGGCGGATCCTTCTCGTGTTTTTTGTTTTTTTTATGTTTAGTCAGTACCTCTGGTGAAGGCAACTCGCCATTGCGGAAATTATTGCGGAATGCTGTCAGTGGATCGGATATAATTCATGAAACACGCTTTTTCGTCGTTCGCGTGGTCCGGCGTTAAGTCTCCCCTTTGAAACGTTTACAAATGTAGTTTTGTCCCTTTGTTTACCTAACTCGGGCGACCCGGTTTCAGGTTTTCAGTTAGCGTCCTAACTAAGGCATGACTGCTGCGTGGGAACTATTTTACATCCCCCGGTCACTGGGGTAGTTTACAGGGTGATGTTACACAGGTTTACTCGTGGGCTGCTCTATGCCCCAAATTTCGGTCTCTCTTCGGAGCTCGGGGTCAACGAAGGGAAACGTGCCTTGTTCGTCTCGTTTTTAAGTTATTGTTTTAGCGTTCCGTCTCTTCTTCCGTTTTGGGATCCCAGTTCGTTTTTCTCCGGGGTTGTACGTGGATTCGCGCTCATCTTACACATATGTTCCTTTTTGTGATATAAACCAGGGAACCTGACCCATCGTTGGCCCTCGTCCTTCTCCTGGTATCGTTGCGGCTCGCCCCATCCTAGTATCTTTGCGTCAACTTCGTTTCCGCAATCCTTAATATTTCAAAGCTGGGGAAATTCACAACCACTCCTTTATGTGGAGCTAATAGGCATTATCCGGGACGGTGTCCATGTTGAACAGTTCTTCAAAAATTTCAAGGAGAATTTTCGGGGCTCACCGTATAACTCGCCGCGTGCTCCGATTTGTGAGCAGATTCAAACCTTAATCTCCGACACCATAGTCGACTGGGTCTCCACTAGTGTGCTTGCGGTCTGGGCAGAGTTGGAGAAGTACGTTCCCCATTTTTAATATCCTTACCCTCACTGTGAAACCTTCAAAACTCCGCCTCTATCATGAAGAGCGCTTACATCTATCACAATTTAGGTCTCGCCGTCACAAGTTCAGCTCGCTCACAAGGGGGTTCCTGTGTCCCAATATATAGATGACCGTCATATTGGTCAGTTGTTCGGTTCCCCTGCCGAATCCAGTCTACCTCCTAGCAGATTGCCGACTGAAGCGGCTGCGTATATCATGTGCTAACTACTTATAGAGGCCGGTTATTTTATTGGCATCGGGAAATCGTAGGTTTGATGTTCCTGACTGACAATCAGGTCCTTATATCTGCATTAGATTACGACGGTTGTAAAAACTCGGCAATCAGTGACGTCATTAAAGAGATTTTGTGCCACAGTCGTGACTGCAACTTCAGCATCTACACCTTCTATGTGCCGCCGGAACGAAACCCTGCTGACGAACCCTCACGGCGATATTCAGATCTGGACTTAACGTTTATCCCTGAGTCTTGGTCGCTTTTGGAACATTTCTTCGGTCCCCATTCGTTTGATTTAATTGTCTTGGATAGTAACTGCCAAAGGGACTTTCGTGGGAACCCCCTGCCTCATTATACCCGACTTGGCCTACCCCTGGGTCTGACGGAGTAACGCTTTTGCTAATCCTCTGCCTGCTGGACATAATATTTATGCGTTTCCGCCGTTTGTACTCCTTGGTCCACTTCTGAACTACATTTTCGATCACGATTTTCATGGTGCCTTCACACTTGTCGTGCTGGATCTGCGACCGAGGCCGTTTTGGTAGTCGACTCTTCAGGCTCTCGTTGTTGACCGTTTGCTACTTGGCAAGAAGGGATCTACCCCCGTGTTGCTTTCTCCCACCCGAAACTCGCGTCAATGGCTTCCGCGCAACCTACAGTGGGATCTCTGGGCTTTCCGAAGCATTTCTTAGAGAGCGTCTTTTATTTTATCTAGGTTTTAAGGCCTTGGAAGGCTGCACAGCGATACCCAGCATGTTTATACCCAAACGACTTTGACGCTTACTTTTGTCAAGCTTGTGGTCCGCAGTGTCCCATGAAAGGTTGTGAACCATACAAGTCTATCCAGACGTTTCCAAGATTTTTTTGATACCCTCAGAGCCAAGCCCTATCTGCGGCAGAGGTCTGCTCTTGAACAGCAGTTTTCTGATTTCCTGGTTTCTTTGTCTCCTCTAAAGTACATTTCTTCTTGCACTTCAGACGATGTTATTAAGTTTTTGATAAGTAAGGACAGCTCGGGAGGACTGTGGTTCATAGTCAGCTATGCCCTAAGGTTAGTTGCGATTGTCCAAGGCGTTTGGCTGCGGGGATGGTAGATTCTAAGTTGCGGAAACTTAATGCTATTTTCAATAACATTGACCGTTTGCGTTTAGCGTTAAAGAGTACCTTAAATTTGTTCTCGAGGAACAGGCAAACAAGGCTATTCTCTCCTCCAAGGCAGTGCCTATGCTTTTTGTTAAGTTTTCTACGCTCATTAATTGTCTTAGGTACTCCATAAGATGCAGCACCCATCTTTCCTTAGTCAATGATTATATTTTGGTGAGGGACACTGTTTTCTTCGTTGTCGATTTTTTTCACTAGGAACCGTTCTTCAGATCTGGGTCGTCTTTTAGGGTATCAGGTGTTCATCAGTCTTAAGAATCGAAAGGGTTTTCTGCTGCTCTTAACCCTAACTTAAAGCTTTGAGGTGTAATGCGCCTTCTTCATTTATTTTAGAACCTTTCCAAGAACAGGAGCTTTGTCCAGTTTTGCAGATTCAATACTATCTTTATGTGTGTCAGTTATTAAACGTTCATTTGGCTGACGGGTACTTCTTTAGGGCTACCGGTCGGCGCAGAGCAGTGAGCTAATAAGGCCTTTTTTGGGTATTGTGGTTAACAATAGCTAAGAAAATATCTATCAGAAACCAAGATTAATTTGTTTTCGGAGAGACTCCCCACAGCCTTAGGGTTGGCCTTTCGAACATCCTCAACATGTTAGGTTGCTTACAAGAGATCTCTTGTTACCTCGGGTGAAGAAGCAAGGGTATGGTTGAATATTACATCATAATGAGTAACACAGCTAGTTCTTTTTCTGTTACTTGGGGGAGAGTTTCTAAGTATTTTAGAAAGATATAAGGAGTTCGTTTGATGAATTTATCGGTGCGTGGCTCTTTGTTTTTTGGGTGCTTTTTAGCTTTTCTGTCTCTTAAAGTGCGAGTCGTGGTGTCGAGTGCAGGAGCGTACTTTTCCCATAACTTAATATTTCGTGATGAGGTAATTATGCAGTGAGAATATATTACTAGTTATCTTTCCTAACTGGAACACCCACCTCAATATGGTCAGTCCCTTAGTGGCAATTTTCCCGAGAGAAACAGTTTGTGACACTATTAAGTGTATATAATAGCCGAGTCCTACACGTAGGTCAGCAAAACCACCATCCATTCGAGAAATCTCGCTGGTCACGTCACCGCACGACCGCCCGCCCGTTCGTCCTCTCCACAGGAAAATCAACGCGAAATGTCACAGTTTCTATCTAGTGTGGGAGCATGCAACTTGATATTGCACATCCATGTCGTGGTCAACTGACAGCGGTCAAAACAGGGTATCCGCTGACAAGTATAGTATGGCCGTATGGCGGGTTCAGTTTACGTGCTTTTTTGAAGTTCCCTCTGACCCATTTCTGGTCTTCAAGTGTTCACAGTCTCAACTCTAAGTGGACTTCTTTGCAATGGTTACAAGTTGACTGTTTGAAGTAAATTACAAACTTGTTTACGGGAGCTTCGTCTTTGGTTTTGGCTAAACCTATATATTATTGAACATCTGCTTGTAATTACACTAGTTTGCTTAGTATAGTCTCACGCTGAACTAAGTACTTAGCTTGAGTATTTTCCTGTTCTTGCAGAACTGGATGGCTTACACCGAGGCGAATTTTGACAACTTCACTTTGACAGAAAGCCTTGTATTTACAAACAGCACTCAACAAGACAATTATGCTTTTTGTCAGGTAAACGGATTTTTAGCCACACAAAAATTCCTACCCAAGAAAAATCAGTAAAAAAAATAGTTAGGAGTCTCTAAGTTCAGGTTCACAGCAAACCAATTTTTTAGATTTTTATCGACGAAATTGCGGCCGTCAAAGTGAGGCAAGTATACCTCTAGTACTCGGTTGGCGATATACGCAGCTATAGACCTGGTAAAGAGATAAAAGATAAGGCAAAAAAGAACAAAGTTATTTTTTTAAAGTTGAATTTTTTGGAAAGCCAAAGTTACGCATTTGCGTTATTCCGCTGTATCCTCTTTAGTATGGGATGATTATGGATACGGTCTTACATAATGATTTAAACAGTTCATCCATAAAAAAGTGACTCTTACAGACCATGTCTGTCTTATTTCAGAAAGTAAACTTCACAACTCCATTCTTTGCTCCTCCAGTGGTGGTTTTGACACCAAAACGCAGTTACAGAAATGTTACCTCACAGGGATGTGAATGCGATGCAATGACAGCCTGGGTCGAGGTAAACATTACTGTTATAAATTAAATCCGTTGTCGATAGCAACGCGTCCCCTAAATTCCCTGAAGGGTACTTCTGCATTCGAGCGCGATGTTTTAAAATTCAGTTTTGAGCTAGCAGTTGACATGAAGAGAAGAATTGAGATATAGAAGCCGAAAACCCAGAGATAATACACGCTAGTGTAAGTTGTTTTTTTCCAAGAGGTTTTCAATCTTTAGCGAACTTCTCATCAGGATATTTGGCCTTTTTCCTTTTTCAACGAATCATTCTGTTAATGCTCGTGATGTAGACGTGAAAAGAAGCGAGCACGATTTCGACGCCTAAATGATGAATAAACTGTTAGAAAACACTGAGACACTGAGTATCAAATGAATCTTTAAGAACAGCGAAACGACGACAACAATTGCCTTGTTTTTTTTCCTTCAAACATTGCTCTAAGACAGTTCTCGTAATTTAGGTGAATAATCGTTTTGTTTCTTTGCCATGATAGTATTTGATTCCTTAGCCTAACATTCTCGTTAACGACCACTGCGTAAGCTACCACCTTTCAGTAATAACCATTTTGTTTCTTAGTCAATTCTGTTTTCACTAATGGACTTTCTTGTAAGTGACCAGTCCACTCAGTTGCGGTGACTTTCACTGTTTTTGACAGGGTGCCGCAGTCGAACCGACTGCTTTGAATTCACTACTTTACTGTCAGTAAAACTGAGATCAATAGGCCTTATCACGGATTTCGACGCCATCTTGACGAGTAGGCAGTCGTGTGCGAAGTTAGAGTGTTTGTATGGGAATCTAAAAAAATGTCGAAAATTTTCCATAAATGGAGTTCTGATTATGAACTGAATGTGCTGCTGCTTATGACATTCGAGTACGGCTAATTGGGGTGGTTTAGCTAATTTACGTCATCTTTAAGGTAGCTAAACGTAACTAAAAATATTCGCCATTGACAGTATTGCTTTATTTTTGATAAATTTCACCCCTAGTATACCTCCAGAAATGACATGGAAATTTGTATGAAAAACTACAAAAGTGACGAAAACATAAAGAGTATTCTCCTTACAGTCGATTATTTGGTGATTGGAGGTAAGTAAAGTTCATTCCACACTCTCTTTCCACCAAGATGTATTTCTGTAGGTACCGGCAGTCCAGAGGTAGCACAAACAGCTACTTGTAAGTCTCCCCAGGTAAAGGCCTATCTACCAATGAACAGAAAAAACACCCGATAATAAGTCCCCCACCCCCCCTCCCTCTCGGATAGAGCCCCTCCTTCAAATGTGTCGAAATGAATTCGATTTATTATGAAGTTTTGCACCTTACACCTATCCCGTAGTCATGATGTCCATTGGGGCGCCACAGACTCAGCAACCGTTTCCCTCCAATTGACATTGTTTTCAGATTCTTTTAGGGTGTCGCAAAACCTCAACTCTGTCCAATCAAAGATGTTATTTTCCCAGTCGTTCTTTTGCCTTCCTCTGCTTTTCCCTCTCTGCACTGTTCCTTGTAAGATTATCTTGGCAAGCCCTGCTGATCTTGATACATAATCATACGATGAGATATTTCATGGATGAAATTTCTATTTAGACATTCTTCATATTCAAGAAAACTGAGCCAGTAGAAATTTGATAACGAACTCGCGTGTGTATTCGCTGCTCATTGCGCAGGCAAATATGCAGACTGTAATCAACAACAACTAACGGATGGGGGCATTTTGGCCAATCGGAACAGCGCAAATCATCCGTATTGTTTCCTATCCAATAAAAAAGAAGTCCTGATTCTGGCTTTTTTGCATGTGATCTGTGAAAGGATTGTATCATGCCCTCCTTCCGAAAACAGATTACAGAGATAAAGGGAAAGGGCGTGATAGTAGGTTACAACTGAAAAGTCTCTGAGATCACAACTTTTCAGGTGGTATATTGCTCATGTGCTAAGGGATTTTGAGATTGATCTTAGACTGTTCATCTCATTACGTCAATTCTTCTAAACTACATGTTCATCACAACGGTTCTCACATTGCAGTTGGCGATAAGAGGGTTTACCTCACAGAAACACGCTGCAATGACATTTTGTAGTACCGGTTTCGGATTCTGCATGCGTGAGCGTACGAGAGAAGAAGAAATACATTTTAACCTGCGTTAGTGTATGTTACACTACGGAGGGCTTTAAAATGTGAAACAAATCCTAGTGGCACGCTCGCCAGAAATTTTTGTCATCATTCCGCCTTAAGACTGACTTTGACTATTTTTTTTTATAATTATGATGTTAGACTTGGATCCTTGCATTGAAAAGACATGTTACCACTATGGTCATTGTAAGGCAGTGGGGCACCATGATGCTCGCTGCGTCTGCGTAAACAGCTGTCCCTCCTATCAAGAGCCAGTTTGTTCTTCAAATGGCACCACTTATGATAACAAATGCCTATTTGAACAAGAAATGTGTTCTCTGCAGCTGAACTTTACGATACAGCATCCCGGTGGCTGTGAAGGTTAGATCAACTTAAGTTACATTTGTGGAGTCGCGCTCGTATTTATTTTAACATATTAGGTTTAGCTTTTAAGACAGTTCACGGACTAGCGCCACCATATATTAACTCTCTAGAGTTACTTCTTGACATGAAGCCATCTATTGATTTTTTTTTTATAATTTAGCTGCAACAACCAATCCCGTTAAGTTAAGCTTCTTTAACCGTCTCAATATATATGTCGATATAATCGGCAATTATGGGTTATCACTCAGACATGTTAAAAAAGATTTTATTAAAGTCAACAATCAGGGCATAATGCATTTTTTAGGGTTGCGCCTCATTTGAATTTTTATTTCTTATTTTTACATAAGCTCGGATTCCTTTGTTCTTTTCGGGGAGAATATATTACATAACCCCTGAATCAACTGTCTGAAAAGCTGGGTGCGGCTTTGATTGTTTTAAGGGAAGAGCGGGGCTAATGAAAAGCTAATTAAAATGCGAGGGGATTATGTATTAATATGCGAGGGGGATAAGTGACTTATCCCCGTTGCATTTTAATACATAATCCCCTCGCATTTAATTAGTTTTCATAAAAAAAAAAATTTACAAATATTTATTGTAAATATTAAACACGCCACTATAATTCCTACAATTAAACTGAGCTGCGTTTCTTTTGCGCCACATTCGCCGATTTTCTCAGTTCTTAGTTCATCGATTTCCACAGCCAGAACGACAGTCTGAAATTGAACAGCGTCTTTAAAATTCTACGGTTCCACGAAAGTGTCGCTGTCATGGTAAGGTGTTCCGTTCTTTAACCAGTCATCCCAAACTCGTGTACTCCATGAAGACATGTAGTTGACCTCTTTGTGTTTTGTGGTATTCTTGCTTCATTCCTTGGCTGAATTTCCTTGTCAGTTACGGTAGCCGGTAGTGATCCCTCGCCCGGAATCTTCTTTATCTGTAAACATGCAGGTTGGTCGAAAGATCCTTGGTGCGAAAATTGAAATTGTCAACTGCTTGCTCGTTGTCTGCCTCCGAAATGAAGAGTCAAAATTGTTTTCCGAAAGCTCAATTGTAGTACCGCTATTAAAGCTGCTTTAGTTTGAGTAATAAACGGCTCTACTTCTGATAGATCTGAATCGGTCGACACTGCCAGGCTCTTTAGGCTGTTTCTAGTATTCACTACGAACAACTAATTCGAAATGCAACTGAGAAACTAACATAATTAAAAAGCCGAGAAACTTGTGAATCCCACCAGTGCCAGCATGGAGTGTTAAAAAACAAAAGAAAAATGAACAATAGAGACATTTTTCGTCAATGTATTTTGCATCCCTTGAGGAATCCTCGCCAATGTAAAAATAAGCCATTATTTATCGGCCTTCAGCTCGTGGTTATGTGATTTATTCCCCTTGGGCAACGCACGAGGGGAATAAGTCACATAACCCGTCGCTTCAGACCGATAACCCTTACTTATTTATTTCTACAATAAATAAGCGTGTTATATATGGGAGCCATGTGGCTAACAAGAGAGGGAGATTTTCTCCTTCTGTTTTTTTTCCCCGGCTTTCAAGACATCCCTAGTTTACTTGTTTTAATTTTTTTCTTTAGGATTTCCTTTACAGCGTGGCCGTCGCAGCATGCCGCACATTCCCTCCCTGGGGTACTCATTTTGTCAAGTTATTCGTTTGGAGCCCTTTGTATTCTATCCTGACAAACCCATTGAAGCTCAAATAACTGTCAATCATCTGGATACCAGTGATAAGTCTTATGTCCATGATGCCTCTGTATCGTGGATTGAGAATGTCAATTCCCATAAATTTACCGCGTGTGTAATGACAGCAGGATTTAACGAGCGAATGTCTTATTCTAACGTGACGGTAGACTGGCTGGCTTACCAAGGCGCTCCCGTGGGTGGGGTAGCGGGAGTACAACGCATTTCACAGTGGTGGACTGGGACGACCTGCGAGACTGTCAATTTTCCTTCGGTTTGCTATGTTTAATTCTTTACTCTGTTCTTGGTTTCATGATTTGTATACTTGTACGTATAGAAGAAGTCCAAACAGAATCGAAGCGCGCAGATTAGTCAAGATTAAGTGGCGAATACTCGTTTTTTTATTACAGGGAAAGTTCTCCAAGAAGCCCTTTGTTTTTGTGACGGTAGCACATCATCATGCTGGACTAAAGAGGGACGCCGCTAGTGTCTGGTTGGAGGATATCGCGGCATCCTCTTGTAAAATATGTTTAAGGGAACTTCAAAATTACGCAGGTTCTCACGAGGATATATATGTAGTAAGTAAAGAATTTGATGTGGAGGATGATTACCTTGAGAAAGCAAGCAGATAAATGAATTAATTGAAACCTATATAAAGCGGGCACACAGTAGTATAGTAGGGATGAAGTTGAACCTTTTTTGCTGAGGAATACATTTACGCCAATGACTTTATAGTCTATTGTCTCGATTTCATGAATGAAATGAGGTGTACTTTTAGTAAGATAGGGTAATGTGCTATTTTAAGGTGGTAAAACCAGTTTGACGGGTTTTCGTGAGTGATAAACCTGTTTATCAGGATTAAATACATGTGACGGAAGTTCAGCGCCAAGCCCATGTATATATGCAAGCTGCTGCCACGTGTGAGTCATTATGCGATTCTAGCCAGCTGATGCCTTGAACACCATTGTAAGCTTTTCTGGTCCCATCCCTCCCTCCCTGAGGGTATCGCGCGATGGTATAGGCCATAAAGACCCAGAGAACCCCAAAGAGAGTTGTTGTGTATTTAGATCGATGGAAGTGTTGCGTTTTGATTGGTTGACCAAAAAACTAATCATTATATTAATTAGCTGATTCATGTTTTCCAAGAAAAAAAGCAACAACTCACGGGTGAATCAAGATCACTGAGACATAAGGTAATTAAACAAGTTCTATTTCCTGACACTTTCATTGTCCGTTACTGACAAGTTTCTTTAGTACCGGTCCACTGATTCTTGGCGCGAAAATCTTGCATATTATATAATCACATATAATGAGTTTGAAGGCAAACTACAACAGCTCATTAAAATACTCACAGTAGTTCAGTTTAACTTACCCCACTCCCCTTTATTTTCCTCCTTAATTCATTTATTTGCTCAATTTTTGGTTTCCGTCCTCCACCAACACATCCACATTTCTGTTGTTTTCTTATCACCACCATAACAACATTTTTATTGTTCTCTCCTTGTCCATTACAAATTATCGACCTCACATCGACCTCTCATACGACCCAACAACAATCTACAATAAAAAGAGGAGGAGGAGGGATAACAATAAAATGTGATAGTGGTGGCGGCACTGTGGAGAAAACAAAATAAATATAGTGGTGGTGGTAGCTAAGTAGCATGGAAAAACAATAGAAATGAGGTGGTGATGGTGACGATGATGGCAAAACAAAATAAATGTGGTGGTGGAGAAAGAGAAACAATAGAAATTTGGTGGAGGTGGTGATGAAGGTGGTGACTGTGGAGGAAAAACAAAAGAAATGTGGTGGTATTGGTGGTCGAGGAAAATCGTGGAAATTTGGTGTGGTTGTGGAGGGAAAACCACGCCAGGAATCTGTGAACTTGGCATAGAACAATATCTTGCCTTTAATGGACAATGAAAGCGTTAATAGCGAAAATAATTATAGTGATTTTGAATCAAAAGAAAGTGTGCTTATTTCTTTATGAATTGAATCAACCAAAGAAAACTTTTGAAAACTTTTGTCAAAAAGGAAGACATTCATCGATCTCAAATCTATGACCATGTTTAACCATGTTGTTACATGTGTTCTTCTAATTTCTTTCTTTTATTTATGACCATGTTTGACCGTGTTTTGCATATTCCCAAACCATGATGAACCATTTTTTTCATTCCTGCTTCCAATTTATGACCACGTTTGACCATGTTTAAACATGATTTTGTTGCCCAGGTCAACTATGGTCTAACATGCTCCTTTTCCATGGTCAACCATGGCTAATCCCTACTTCCTTCAGAGCAGATTTACCATGGGTGACCATGGTCAGCATTACTGTAATTTAACGTTCATGGTTGACCAAGGTCAAACCGTGGTTATATCACTGCCATGGTATATCACTACCATGGTTGGAAACCTTGTTCAACCATGGTAGAACCACGGCCGATCATGGTCTATCCATGATCCTCTCGCCGGGGAACCTGTCATACTGATTAAGCCACACAATTAAGCTCAGGACAACGTCTTCATAAGATTCTCCGCATTTGAAATGACGGAGTTCATGTGTTCCTGCTCAAGTTAATAAGATTCATGCACAAAAAAGATTTGATCCCGTTAATAGACTAAATGACGTTCATGCGCTAAATTCTTGTATCACTGTTTAATTCAAACGCCTTTGAGGCGATTATAAAAAGATGACTTACAGCTTACTTTAAAAGCTGCACAAATGACAGAACACATAACGCTTTAAATGTCTTTACCCATAAATGCTTACAAAAATCATGATTGTCTTTTCTTCCTTTTCCTTGTAGAACTGGTTGGCATTTTCGACTTCCCAAAAGCCATTCTTCTCGGAACAGAATTCGGTTTACTTTGCAAACTCCAACAATCCTCCTGCGGATTTTAATAATGCGTTCTGTAAGGTCAGTATATTTTCCTATTGTTTTTCTAATGGAATAATTATAATTTATCCTGGTTTTTGCATCTCTTATTTTCACATTTTAATCAGCTTGTTTTGTTTTTGTTTTTAGGATATCCACTTCAGTGAGGTTTATCGAAACGCTCCAAACGTTTTTGTATCAGCAAAGCATTTCTCAACTGGTAAAAATCTGGATCCAATGCACAATTCTATAACTGCTTGGGTTGAGGTAAGAAACCTATGTCTTTGTAACATACTTTTCGCAGAATTTCAATTCATAGAAATAATTGTATCGGTGTGAATTTTATAAAAGGTGCCCTCTAGGTTTTCGCTTGAACACGGTCATCACTCGTGTTGAGACCAGAGTAGCGGAAACAATAATAATAATAATAATAATAAACAGAAGGCTTGCTATCTTGCTACATGTAGGTGTCATCAGATAGCCCAGCCCAGGCCTAGAAGTCGGTTGGTGGCTGGCAGAGAGCAGTGCAAAGTTAACGAATTTTCTTTGAGAGCTAGCCCAGTCAAACCTTTGCTCTGATTGATAACAGCAGTCCACAATTCGGAGCGAGCAACTCCCATACTAGGCCTATGTTACGGCGTTTTACGGACCAGTTTATTTTTAGACACATTTTAGGGCACTTTTTCCCGCGAAAATAGATTGTCCACCATGTCTATTAGCGCATTCGAAGAATAAGATATCAAAGAGGAAAACTAAACGTTATTTAAAGGCAAAAAATACCATTTTTCGGTCGCTAGGTTTTGCTGACTGGTTTGTGGAATTTAAAAGATGTTTAAAATTCGCGCCAAAACCGTTCTAAAACTAATCTGGTCCGTGACACGTGCGCATGGAAGTTGCTCGCTCCATCTAATGAGCTCCTGCTAATAATCATTTGGCTAGGGAAGACTAGGAAAGAAAATGGAGCAAGAGATCGATGTTTCCTTTCTGATCTCGGGAGAGTAAGCTCTTTTTTCAGAACAAGATAGAAAACGTGCATAAACTCAACTGCCGCTCGAGTTCCTGTCTCTTATTTTTACTTGGCTACACATTATTCATCCCCGGAGACACAGGGGCAGATAGTGGGAGGGAGGGAAAGTCTAAACGGGCGGAAAAATATGGCGCGAAGAAAAGTAAAGAACGACGAGAAGAGCCCCTGGGGACAATTTCTTACCAGACCAGTTCCAAACGGTCGCCGCCGTTCTGGCTTCTGATTGGTGCCAGAAAACTTTTGTGTTTTTCTGCCCAATCAGAAGCCAGAACGGCGGCGACCATTTGGAACTGGTCTGGTAAGACATTGTCCCCAGGGGCTCTTCCCGCCGTTCTTTACTTTTCTTCGCGCCTATTTTTCCGCCCGTTTAGACTTTCCCTCGCCCCCACTATCTGCCCTTGGGTCTCCGAGGATGCACATTATTTAAACTGCTTGTGATGATGACCGCACCATCAATGGGGTGGTGGTGAGGGGGATGGGGGGGTTGTGCTGGCAGCTATGTTGAAGTAATTACCGCGCCTCTATTTTTTATTCTAGTATATTAATACGACGGGCACAAGAGTTTGTTTGAAGGAATTATATGAGTCTAAATATGATCCCCTGTCGATACAATACATGGTCTTATCAGGTGAGGAGCTTTCATCTGTAAAAATATATGTTAATAAGAACGCACTGAGCGCGTGGCGGTAACTTATAACAAATACGGTACATTGTACTTTGTCATGAGTTGCTTGAAAAAGTCTGCTTGTTTTGATGTTGTTGTTGTTGTTTTAATTCCTGGTTTGTAATAGCCTAGGGCACCTAGTCAAAATTAAATCAGATTATCATGTAAAGCTTTGTTAACGCACATTACGATCCGAAAACTGCTAAAGTATCGAGTCAGGTTTTATCATTAAGGGCCTGTTTACAAGGAGGTGGGGGACACCAGATAGGTGTGGTAACATGTGGCAGGTCACCCCACTTATGATGTAAACGTGATCAAATTAAAATGAGAGATTATACACCGAATGCAAATATGGTGGATCTCTCGGTCGGCCCGGGTCTAGTTGCGTGAAAGCGAGGCTAGTGAGGCTTCGATAGTTTTGTTTTGACTGCGCGTCTTAGCGATTCAGTCGATGAATATGGTTTCCTTCGAGTTGTTACGTGCTTAAGAGCCATCAAATAGGAGATTTAACTCCAGCAGAGACGAAAGTTGATTACCTTCGCTTTGCCAAAGTTCTTTACGAAGAAAGAAATGGATTGAAGCGATTCGGCGCGGCGAATGGAGGCACTCTACTATCACGGAGTTATTTTTTAAAAGAACGAAAGTGTGCTCGCTTCACTTCAGAAGAGAAAACTCAGGAAACTATTAGAATGGGTGAATAACTGAAAGATTCATGGTTCTGTTTGAAGTTTGCTTTGTCCGTTCTCTTACCAAGGAAAGGTAAACATCCTCGAGAACGAGTGAATCCGCCGTCCAGACTTATTAATCTTTAGGAGCTCTAAGGGACACAACTACAAACAACAAGGCGAGTGTTTTTTCACAGTCTTCACGATCCTGTGTTCAAGAGTTTGAGCAGTACCATAAAAGAAGTAATTTTTGGAAAATCGCTGTTAGTTTATCTCGAAACCATTCGACAAGTTGCTAAAACAGATCACGCGCAAGGTCAAATACTATGCTCGAATACTTGCACGCTCTTTTTCTTCCAGAACCTTTTTTCTTCTTCTTACTTTCTTAGTTGGCAACGGTTCCTCCGTTGGTTTTTTCAGTGCATTTTGGTCAAGGACTGTTCTTGAAATATGTCGCTTTCTTCTAGTTCTCACATAGTTTCACAGACCACGCTTGTAGGATTAACAGGCGATTGTTGTTGTTATATTTTAATGCAGCTGTTTTCAGCGGGAATTCTAAAAGATCTTACGGTCCACCGCGGATGCTCCAGTTCTCGAGAATGTTTACCTTTTGTTGGATAAATAACAGACCATGCAAACATCTTGGAACAGCACCATCTCTTGTGAAAATCATTTCATTCAAATACTTTCGTGAGTCTTCTCATCTAAAGCAAGTGAGCGAGCACAGTTTCGCTGTAAAGTGCTTCCCATCGCCGCGCCGAATCACGTGAATCCTTAAGTTTCTTTGTGAAAAGATCTCGGGAAAGTAAAGGCTATTCCAGCTAGAGTAAAATCTTCTTTTCGGTGGCCCTCAGGCATGCAACAACTCGATGCAAACCATATCGATCGACTCAATCGCTAAGACGCGCAGTCAAAACAAAACTCTCGAGGCCTAACTAGCCTCGCTTTCTCGCAACTAGACCCGGGCCGGCCGAGAGGTCCGCCATATTTGCATTCGGTGTATATGGACAGGCGGGTTACAGTATGTTGCCCAGTATCCGGACACTTAAAACAAAAACTCAATTTTTGAAGGGCTCTTTTCAGTTCTCGGTAAACGAAGTGTTTCGAATGAAAGCTGAACATTTCAGCTTTAAGATGAAAGTTTTGGCGAGTTTAAAGCTTGCGAAACAGTCGAAGAAGACGCCGTTCTGTTCAGGTGAGTAAACTTTTCATGGCTAATATTTACGTTGTTTACTGGGCAGTAAAATTAGTGCTGCTCAGAAAAGGGTGGGTAATATATGATATTTTCAAAGAAACTGTTTTATATTTAAAGTGAAGATACCAAAAGAATTAAAGTTCTCAGAAAGTTTATTAATTCTTCTTGAAATTCGATTTGTTTGGAATAACGGAGGCCAGAAACATTCACTAAGGATTGAGGTTTGGTGCCCAGTACCCGGACAGTTTTTTTCTTTGCGGTACAGAATCGATGAATTAGCTGTGTACATTACCCGGATAAGATTTATTTCATATCCATAACTATAATTCAAGCTTAGGATATATGATATAGTCTTAAAATGTAATTCTACTCAACTCCATATGGAAATTTTCTTCACTCATCCAGAGGCGACTTGATTTCGTGTGCACGGCTTGTTTCGCGTGACTGCATTTTCTATAATAACCGAAAGCGTCGGAGTTGAACCTGGAATTCTCAGAATTTCCCCGGTTGTGACTGCTAGAATGGGGTTGCAAAGGTCTGGAAAAAAGTCACAAAGGGATTGAGAGATGTGAAAGAAGGAGGAATTAATGCTAGAAAAGCAGGCTTATTGTGGGGACTGAGCATGAAGAAATCAACACCGCCGGTCAGACTAAATAGAAGAGTGACCTTTGACCGTCGGATTGAGGTGCCTTCCCCAAGCTTTTTTTTTTTTTTAAGAAAAGTGAAGAAAAAAAGTCCTTTGCAGTTTGGCTAATTTAGCTTGCAAACCGCGGCTTCGGCTGTTCTCTGTTTGCCTTCTTTAGATAAGAGAAAACGTTCTGCGACAGGGCAGTAAGACTTATACCATTTTTAAGGTCCCTTCCCCAAGCTTTTTTTTTTTTTTAAGAAAAGTGAAGAAAAAAAGTCCTTTGCAGATTGGCTAATTTAGCTTGCAAACCGCGGCTTCGGCTTGTCTACGGTTGCCTTCCTTAAATCAGTGAAAAAGTTCCTAGACAAGGAAGTAAGACTTATACCATTTTTAAATAGCCGCTCGCGTTCTCCACCATAGCCCAGTTATTTGTTATGTATTATTTCATCGCCCCAACATTGTAGGTTATATTTTTGGAATCGATTGCCAGACTACTTTGCAAGTGCAAGAGAAGCTTATAAGTCGCTTGCCTGTCGAAATTTATGTACAATTACGTTGTTGCTGTTGTGTCCGGATACTGGACCAGCTGTCCTGCCGGATACTGGGCAACACAGGAACTCTGCAAAAATATTAATTTCGGGATGGAAACAAAGGCTAAAAAGTTAAACTGTCTTTCCTCATATTAAGAACTAGATAAATTTTCTCTGGGCTAAATTTCAGAGCTCTCGCGACCAACAAAGGAAAGTTATTGCAGTGTTAAACTGAAGTGTCCGGATACTGGGCAACATACTGTACCCTACCTAAGCGGGTTACCTGGGGTCCACCAACTTCAAGTAAACAGGCCCTAAGACATCCGAGCCACTTGAAGATTTCAGTGTGTTTTCTTGGTGAGGCGACACGGACTAAAACGAGGGCCCAAGGCCCTCCGATTGCGTGGCCAAGGTTTATAATTTTGTCGAAATTCGCATCGCACTTGGAACTAGCGTGGTTCCCAAGCGAGGCAGGAACACCATTTGTTTTTGTGGCCGTTTTGGCGACCAAGAAATTCAAGAAATGCTGATTGTGTTTAAGTTTAAGTTCATTTGTTTATTCAAACTTATTCATGAATCACAATAATATAAAATAATGGTAAGCACTGAAATAGAGTTATACTTTACCATATTGCTTTAAGTATTACATGCATTAGATAAATTTGCAGTGGGCAAAAATGATCTTAAAAGCGTTGCGATGAGCACAGTGCAGTTACCGGTAGACGGCAGTTTCAGCTTTATAAGTCAATCTTTTCTCGCGTCCTCCCGTCGACCACCAATGAAATGCAACTTTTGCGGCTTATGTGCGTTTCATTTGGGTTCTTCAGAATGTTCCTGTAGTTTACCCTTTCAAATTATGTTACACTGAGGCAGACCCAGACTTTCAGCTCCGTGCATAGCCTGTTGAGCCCTGGAGTGTTTATACCAGGCTATGCAAATGCAGGAAAAAGGTTTTCTATTCCTTTTTTAAATTAACTTTCCCGAGAAAAAACGCAATATATACTCTTTGTTATCAGATTCCACTATCATGTCATTTTACCATATAAGGTCAAGAGAACGCGCCATAATACACTGTAGTGCCCTGGTTTATCCGGTATACAACAAGGCGACTGCCGGAGCATGCAAAAGGAGCAACAGGGGTGACGAATGGTCTTTGCGAGCATTCGCGAGCATGCCGAGCACTGCGATTTTTTTGCGAGCACGTGCAGAGATAAAAAAATTTGCTTTGCGAGCAGCGAGCAGTTTAGAGAGTACAACTCGCGAGCAGCGAGCACTTCTTATATTTTCCGCTTGCAGCAAGCCATATGGAAATCCTTTTCTTTAAAATAAAACAGAAAATATTTTCAAACGGGGTTTTTATTTAGAGCCCACCAAGTTCTTTGAAACTAGTTTGAGTGACACCTTGTCGAGATCTAACCAATTACAGTCGCGTTTGATGCCAAATGACGTCACATTTTCGCTTCACTTCATCACGCACGTGTTCGTATGGATCAGAAAGCAACCATATATAGCAACCATATATAACCATATATAGCTAGATTAGCTAATTTATTATTTATCGTTGTCATTTATCGCGTGCATTTCCACTGAACTTGATAGCCATATGTATAGGAATTAAGCACTATACAGAATTACATTTACTTTAACCCAAAGAAGGATTTACAAAATTTCGAGCAATACTGACAAGAAAGCGAGCTTGCGAGCAACTGCAAAAATTTGGGGAGCACGGGCAAGCGAGCACTCGTTTAAATTTTGCGAGCAAATCGAGCAAAGGTAAAAATTTGCGGGCAGTTAAAAATTTTAATGGACCATTCATCACCTCTAGCAACTATGGCTGAACTGTACGAACCGGCGGACGAAAACAATTTTTTTTTTGTTGCAGCAGAATAATTAACTTCTCATTCAATGGTTTGGCATATAATCGATGCGCAAACATTTTCCTTTTTGTTAACGTCATTCTTACGGACAGGATCAGGATTTTTCTGAATACTCTTACCAAAAAAATAGAAGCCAATTGCAAAGTAACAATTTTTTTTGTAGTGGAATATCAACATCTTATCCAATGGTTGAGCATATAATACGTGGGGACATTTTCTCATTCCTAGTATTTTTCCGAGCCCCGCAGAAATACTACGCAACTCGCAAAACGTCCGCAAGTATTATATGCTTAACCATCGAATAAGGTGTATTTCGGACACTAATAAAAAGAGAAATTCTTTCCAGTCCCGAAGTCTTGTACACCCACAGGCGAACCAAGCTCGGTGCTTAAATTACAACGGGTTTCGATACTGTTTCGCATATTACAAACGATTTTAATACTTTGTATGAGAAATTCAATATAGTTGTTAAAACGTAGAAATATAGGCATAAATATAAAAACAAATTGTACTTACGTAAACCTGGGCCTGTTGTTGCTTTTTCTGTGTAACCTGAGCCCAATTCATTGCCAACTGTATACGGTTTTTGGGGCTCGTTGTTTGGTCGGTGTTTTTTTCATACGAAAGCGAAGCAAGGCAGGTGACGGTGTGCAGTCTCGACTCAGTCTCGAATTTCCCCCGCATCAAAGAACCGCGCACCGATTCGCCATGGAAGCGTCAAATCCTTAAGGCCCGGTTAGTCCCTTATCTCTTCCCATCGTCATGGGTATGTTTTTTTTGCGGGAAATTTTTTGGAAAGCTCTCGGTTTTGGGCAATCTGGCGTGCGTACACATACCACGATGCGGCTACGTGGTACGTGGTCAACGCGAACATTTTACATTCGCTTTTCTTATTGGCTAGGTTCCAAATACCGCGCACGCGCAGTCAGGAGATCGTAATATGCAAAACAGTATCGAAACTCGCGGTAATTTATGCACCGAGCTTAGACTCCCTGTAGTACACGAGGTCTTGCACGCGTAATCAGTTCTTGTTTTGCAAAAGAAATGCTTTCCAAAGTACGGATTTTTCTCGCTTTAAATGTCAGATTAAGCGAAAATAAGTTTCAGCCGACCAGGGATTGGGTAAGTAAAGTAACCTTGTCGAGTTTTCAATTTAGAAACCGTTTTTCTTTGCGAATAGCAAAACATCTTGACGTCTCAGCCATGTTTACATACTCTCATGCACTCACACCTCTCGGCCAATCGGAGAGCGCGTGATATCTTAATTATTTTATATAACATCTGATATAACTCATCTACAGATATATGCAAGCCAGGATGGAGCTACTATGGCGGTTCCTGCTACATCACGAGTCAAGCGTGCGCTACATGGCTGACCGCTGTATCAAACTGTTCCACAATGAGCTCGAGTCTCGTGACGGTCCACAACCAAAAAGAGAATGTTTACATCCAGCACCGCCATAACGGCGAAAAATCCTGGATTGGACTCAATGATCGGAGCGTGGAAGGATCATTCGTCTGGACCAACAAAGAATTAAGTAGGTTTAGGTTCTGGTCAAGAAACCAACCAAATAACTGGAAAAATGAAGACTGCGTGCACACTCTCGGTTCGAGGGGAGGATATACCTGGAACGATGTACCATGCGATAACTGCTACAACTTCACTTGCTTTACGGGTAATATTCACGGAAACTTTGCATTATACACCCAGTGATGTTGCCTTGGTCACCGTTTTTATTCCTAATTTGTTCGACCGTTGAGTTTATCTGTTTTAAATAATTGTAAAGACAACTTCAATTCTGTTTTGTGTATGATGAGAGAAGTCAATAGCGGTGATAATTTTAAAGCATTTCGATCAATAATCTAGACCACACTTAAACAATGCAACAAATCAAACGTTTTCCCTTTCAAATAAATTTCTTTGATGCACAGTACTCACGCTGAATGATCCTTTCTTTTTCAATTTGGAGTCCACAAAGACGTAACAACTACTAGGTAAAAGATGTTATATGCTTAACCAAGCCCTTTCAAACGTAGTCATCAATCTGATTGACTAACTGCGCGAAAATCGTGATACAACAGTGCTTTAATGCGTTATTATTTTTTTACGTCTGGTTGAATAATCTCCCAAGCTGGATCTCGTGTTTCATTAACAAATACCTTGCAATACATAGATACATACATACTTACATACACCCATATACACATACACACATACATACATACATAAAACTTGTCCAGTTATTTCATCTGGAATTACAGAGTCGGCCAAAAATAAGCTAGTATCTCCTAGAAACAAATAAAATCCTAAAACGAAATAAACCATGTTATACACTAACTAGAGAAAATATTTAACTCTTAATAAAATTAATTAATTAATTAATCTGTATCGCCGAATTGCTAAATAAAGTCATGCAAAGACGAAGGGGTTCTCAGCTTGTCAGGCAACGCGTTCCAGAACTTAGCAGTGGTATAACTAAAAGAATTTATGCCATAGAAATAAGGATATCATGATCAGTACCTCTCATGGAATAATCAACAGATCTCAGAGAAAGCAATTCTTTGAGATACTGCGGATACTGTTCAAGATGAAGACACTTCAAGGTAACTATAAGCATGTTCTGTATCCGCTTGTTACCGAGGGAAGAGTCTCCAATCCGTTGCAATAGGTTACCGTATAATGAGACTTTGTCATTTAAGATGATCCTAAGAATGCGTTTGTTCAACATTTCTAGCTTATTCTTATCACTAATTATCACTGAATTTTTCTCAGTGAATTCGTGTCATCCCTTTCTGTCAGTAATCTTTCTCGTAATTACGTAAATAGCTCGCCCTCTTAGCCCTCTTCTGATTTTCTTTTATCAGCTGTATGTTTGTAAGCCAAATTGGACTCTACCGTTATATTACTATTACTAAACTATTATTATTCAGTTCAACGTACTACTAATCAGATAGGCTATTAGCATTATTTTCATCAATGCTTAAATAGTTCATCATTAATTTGTTGATTTGCAGATGCTCAAACATGTTTGTTAACTGAGATTGATTTTGCAATAACTTAAGTAATCAATTATATTTTAATCTACCCTTTATGAATTAGACGTTTTTTTTTTTTAATATTTAGACTTTGATGAATGTGCCTATCATTCCAATGACTGCGACGTCAATGCTGTTTGCCAAAATACCGCGGGCTCATACACCTGCACGTGCAAAGCGGGATATACAGGAAACGGACTGATCTGTGATGGTAAGAAAAGACATCAATTGAAACCTATCAGTGAACGCTATAACCATAATTGGATTCGATTTACTGTTACTTTAAAATACGTTGAATCCGACGTACTATCAGACAGGTTTTAATTTTCATCTTTGTCTAAACATTTAATTTGTTAATTTCCTTGCAAGCAGAGGGAAGAGAAAAATGGGCGAAAAAATGATGAGGGAAAAATAAGAGAGATAAGAGAGTCTTTAATTCCTCTTTTTTCTCTCGCAGTGAGAGACCTCTGTTAGCAGAGAATTTCCATACCTTCCCATAACAAAATATATATTTGTGGACAGAAGTTGATTGGCAATGACTAATAGTAATTGATTATATTTTAAATTACCATTTGTGAACTGGAATGTGTTTGAATGTTTCTAGACAATGAAGAATGTACTTCTCTTTCTAATAACGACGACGTCAATGCTGTTTGTCAAAATACTGAGGGCTCATACACCTGCACGTTCAAAACCAGTCAATTAAAAACCAAGCACTTAACGCAATTTAGAAACACACTGTTTACACTATCCTGGTTACCCTACCTCGTGACAAAAAGCCATTGCCAAAATGTAACGAAATGGTTTCGCCAATGAAAGATGAAAATCCGCAACGCTTTGAAACCATTATCAAACTGCGTAAGTGTCAAATTGCAGAGAAAAGACAAAACATGATGGATATCAAACTCAGAGCTCTTCATTCAATTTGAAGAAAGTTTTATCGATTTTGTTTTGGAATTTGTTACGAAAAATGAAGACACTTCCATCCTTGCCCTAATTCTAAACCTTTCCCTTAACTACTTTTAATTTTTTCCATTGTACTTTCGGATGATTATCAGAAGGTTCCAGTATGTTGTGTTTATAACCTCTTTAGATTTGAATGAGTGTTCAAGTAACTCTGATAACTGTCATGTCAATGCAATATGTCACAACACCGTTGGGTCTTTCACATGTACCTGCAAACCTGGATATACAGGAGATGGACGAATCTGCAGTAATGGTAAGATAATTCAGCTGGATTATCTATAACAAAACCCTGAGTGTTAAGTAAAATATAAATTACTAATTTTTCTGACCTGAATCTTACAAAGGGTAAGAAGAACAGGTAAGCTACGTATGCGAAAAATTTAGTAACCGTCCGTGTAAAATATCACACTTTTACTTACTAAAATGACAGTGTTGTGTAAGTCATACACCGTATACGACTGATCCATATTAAGCTGAATTGATAGTTGTCAAACCTGGGCATTCACTTCATATTCATCATGATCTCTCCTGCTCTCAGTCGGTCAAATTGCTAATGCAAACAAACGGCTGCCTAATTTTTTCGAAACGTGTTTTTATCGTGCTTCCTCGTACACACCTTTGCGACCTTGGGTGTTAAAGAACAAATAAGAATGACCAGCTTCCCGTTGATAGCCTGCGTAGCAATTTAAGCGTTTCCGTTTGGTTTCGGAGCAAAGAAAGACCGGTTTTGGCGGGTTTTGGCCGCGTAAGAAATGAAACGAGAGCCAAAAAATTAAAGAGGAGGGAGAGGGAGGGGAAGGAAGGAAACGCTTGCAGACTCTGATTTTGAAAACCTGCGTTCGCCAGCGAACGCAGCGCCTGATTGGCGCGGCTAGTCGAACAATATTGACATGTGTCGATCAGAGGTTTGTTTCATGCTGAGAGGTCATGTATGTACGTGACACGCACATTAATTTTCTGTGGTTGTTATTTACTCTGGCCGGCAAGATTTGCCCTCCATTGAAACGCAAAGCTCTTCTTGCGACTGATTAAGGGTTGCAGGTCTTTTAATTTATTCTCCAAAGTGCCTCCTGGATCTGAATAACTAAAATAAATTTTCTTTTGTCAGCGATTGCGATGGTTTCTGCAATGTTTTGTCATGCTGAGCCCAGGTCGTTAGTGTTTTTTTCTCTCGGAAAGAGATTTACAGATCCAAATTTCGAATAATGGATTGCACTGTTTGTTAAAGTGAAGCTTCATCAACTATGGAGAACTGAATTGTGACTCAATCAAGATTGCTGATTAAGCAATGATCGTTCGGATTCATTGAGAGTTCACCATTAACGCGTTCAAAAATACATGAAAAATTATTTTGGTTTTACACACGCGTCCTCTTTTCCGCTCCACGAAGGTCAATTATTTTATTGCTCAATTATGACAGCTGACAGTATCAAATGTCGGTGCGCGAACTCGAAGCATGACAGGCCAAGTGGGCGGTTTTCAAAATCCCGGGGTTTGTCTGCAAGCTTTTCCTTCCTTTCTTCCCCACCCCCTCAACGCTCTACTTGCACCATTTTACGCGCAGTCTTTGACTCTCGTTCCTCGTTATTTGCTCCTAAACCGCATGGAAACGCTTGCTACGCAGGCTACCCGTTGATTATTATTGGAATTTGCTGCATTACTTAATCAAAAGGTTGAGGAGTTCGAGTCCCGTTTAAGACTGCGTTTTGATTTGTTTGTTTGTTTTTTCTTTCCCCTGGGTTTGCCGCAACTTCTTAAGTTGTGAAACACATATAACAGCGATGGTATTTTTTCTATTTGAAGAAAGTGTGTCTTTTACAAAGGTCAGACAAGGGCTAATATCATTCATAATTCATTTTTTGTATGTTGGGCTTGCAATTTGAGACCATGCATGGATCTCAGCTGACAGTAAGAATTATATTGGTGGGACACTTGCAAAGTCACACTTTGTACTGAGCTAATTGCCCAAATCACAATCAATTCAACTGAAGCCGATTTTTTTTAATCAGCTTTATCCGACTAGAACATTGTTCCTTTGTCAAATTATAGAAGTCGGGTTTTTATTCGTAGGTTTAGAAGACTCTGTTATTGTTGGAAACAACAAAAACTTTTTAAACTCATTAAACAACTGGCTTCGACCCGTGACGAGAAGCGTTAATTATCGCTGGAAGCGCTGCTGGCGTGCATCCGTGGACGGCTGGGCTGCAAGTACGTTTCACTCGCGATGTGACGGCAAGGGTCCGACTGTAACAATAATAAGGGTCGAGAGGTATATTTTTGGAGGATACGCTAATAGGTCATGGGGTAAGTTAACGTTTTAATCAAAGGTGATTTAGATAACAGCCCTGCCGGTTCTAGTATTCATTTGACATGAAGATTAATAAAAATTCAGCTGGAAAGTGAGCGGAGCTAAATAGCCTTCAGTACATGCATAGATAACGGATGCATTCCTGGCCAGCAAAAATGTACTCAAATTCCAGGTAATCATTAACTATTTTATCCCGGTTAAAAAGAATATGAGTTTTTCTCAAGCCTCCAAACACACTGCTGGCCCCCTCCTCTTTCCCCTTGAGATTAAATCCTACATTAAAAATTGCGTGTCATCACAGAAATTATGTCACCCCACTTTGAAAAACAAATCTATGATAAAATCAAACCAAAAAGAAATAAACAGAGCTGTTAAAAACGGGCTTATATGTCACTAGGATATTGCTGTTTTAGGTAAATTTCTCTGATGACATCAATTTGTCGTTTGTCAAGATCTTCTTGTAATGAAAAATGTGTCAACAAGTCAAAATAGTTTATAAATCAGCAAAGGTAAAAGTGTTTACAGTGAACTTTATGTGCCACTGCACTTGACGGGTGATTTCGGAAGTAAGAATTATTCTGAACGTCGAAAATTACGCCTGCTTTTTTTAATTTCTTCGGCTCTCTTTAATAGCTTCCAGCGGTGGATTCGAGTATGACTCCAAAGCATTTTTATTTTCACTGGTGAACAAGCCAGGATGGGCACCTGTTAAACTACCCCAGACAGGGAAATATAGTTTAAGCAGAGCACATTCCTTACTTTTTGGCTCCTCATATGGCCCCTCATTCGGAGGAGGATCTGACTTACTTATTTCCGACAACGCCGCATCCAATGTCAAGTCTCGCGGCAACCTTGGTTATACTTACGGCCCACCGCGAGGATACAGCTTCGGTAGCACTTTCGCCAACACATTCCTGGCAGGATCATATTCCTTCAAACCAAACGAAATAGAAACATTTTACGAAACAACATAAATATCCAGATAATGAATAGATCCGCTTTAATTGTTTCAGTAAATACAAAATGTTTCCTTATCAGCCGATAAAAATTAGTTGCTGTCTGAAACAAGGTCAGGAAAATTAGGTAAGATAAAAATTAATTGCCTCATGAGATAATTTAGGTATTTTAGGTATTTTATTTATTTGCCACACGATTACAATAATTACAAAAAGATGCCAAAAAAAAATGTAGGAAGAGATGGCGAGGAGGTCTAAAAGAAACTATAGAGCTTATGTTAATTAGGCCTCCTCAATTACAATTTTTAGAAGATGGCATAAAAATTACGGCGACGGATACAATATAATATGAGGTGAAAAATTAAACTAATCAATATTACGGAAGTTTACAAATGTTGAATATTAAAA